AATCGACGAGTTAACAGGTAGTTGAACATCTTGACAGGTTATTAGATATTATCACGTGTCATGCAGTTGTGCTTCGAATGAGAAGAGACGAACCTGGCACAAGAGCAAGGGTAATTCCTATGATCCAAATAATGATCATTGACGCTGATGCTGTTTGCGGTGTCATGGTACGGTGACCTTTCAATGGTGCCGCGATTAGCATGTATCGTTCCACTGACATGAATGACAGGATCAATACTGAAACCTTGACAAGTGGATTTTAATTCAATACATTAAGCAATCATATATTTGCTCGAGGTTCTTTGAATTATTAAATGAACGATTGAAATAAGAATATACCTCTAAGGATGTCATCGCTAGGACTCCCACGAATGTACACGACCAAGAGGACATCCATGAACTGGCAACTTGGTTGTAATTGTCACGGAATATCATATCTGCCACGGCGATTATGAACAGATATAATCCCATCAGCATGTCGGAAACTGTAAAAGGATTATTTGATTTATGGTCGACAATATTATCGTTACGGTTATCCTTATTTATAGCTCGATAATCCCTAAAGGTTTTTATTATTGCAACAAGATTGTACAGTTATAAATCATGGAGATTTTGTTGTGCAGATCATAGATCATACTTAGTATTTATTCTAACCAGCTAGATTCCTAATGAGGATTGTTAATACACGATTCTCGTCCTTAGCCGTGATTCTTCCCCAAAGAACGAGCACATTGCCCATACAGGTAACACAGGATATTACCCACACCGATGCTCGTAGAAGAGTCTTATCCAGTAAATGCGATAACGACGAGACACCTAAGACAAAAATTAATTATCAATTTTGGTAGAACGTTTCATTAATTGAAATTTTCTTACCGTCACTGGTAGGTCTACACCTTTTTGCTTTCGGTGCATAGGTTGCACAGTAATGAAATTTTTTGAAATACCTGAAAATTCATTACTTAATTGTAAATACCTCAACAATTATAATAATTTTTATTTGTTGTGGGAAACATTAAAAATCTGTTTGATACATTGCAGCCAGATCTACTTACACGAAGTCCAATTGCCGGAACACGTCAAACGCGTTTTTCTCTAACACATCCAAATTGATACCCTCCAGGTCGCTGAAAATTATATTCTAATAATAATTAAATTATCCGTAAAATAAAAAAATATTGACAAAACATCATTAACGAAACTCACAGAGAGTAAAGTCTCGTCAAAGGGCTCAACACCGTCATCGGTAGATTGTGCAGACAATTATACCCTAATTGGCTGTAATTAAAGAAACCCTTGAAAATTATTTGCACGAATGGTAGGAAAAGAAAAATATTGACGGAATATACTCGAGGTAATTGTTGAGAAATTCGCTTAATCCCACCGTGAAACATGGTTATGACGCGTTCATTCGTATCCACCTTATTTTCGTACGTGCCGGCACAATAAATAAAAGTTTTAACACCGGGTTATACGTGACGTTTCTCTCGTTTGCTTTTCTAACAGCGTGTTCGACGGTAAATATCGGGTAAATATGTTGGAAGCACGCGCGTAGCTTAAGACGTGTAACGTTACAATTTATGCGAATACCCGTGTATCTCTCGTATATACTTACAGTCTGGTCAGATTTTTTAATGGCTGGAACACATTCAATGGGACGGTCGTTATGTTGTTGAACGCCAAATTACTGAAAGGGCAAGTCCGTTGTGCGCGTTGAAACGATAAATAATCAAATGTAATTATAATTTTTATACGAAGAACTTACAGCTCGATCAATTGCTCCAGATTCTGAAAGGTATCTGCTGCGATTGTCTTTATCTTGTTTTTCTGCATACTTCTAAAGATTGAATAATATATGATATTTCTTTAAAGAATTAATTTTCTTTGATTTAATTATTTAATTAGCATGTCTAGGCTGAATCTCAAATAATCCGAATGTTGAATTTTTAATTTCTTGAAATTCGATTAATTTTTTAAAAATGTTAATTAATTTTTGCCTCTAACGTTTACTTACGTACGTACAGTGATTTTAATGCTGGGCATCCAGCGAACAGCGTGTCTGGTATCGATTCAAAATTATTCTCGTCCAATAATCTAAAATATTATTGACGGAATTAAAACAAATTCTTATATTTCGAGTGGTAGAATATTAGAATCAAGAACTTACATTTCATTTAGCGCCGGTAAATACGGCAATTTCAGTGTTTTTGAGGTCAATTGATTTTCATTTAAATTTCTATGCACATGTAAAACATTTACAAAATTGTAAAACTTGTATGATATCGTAATTTGGATAAAATGAAATGTCTTACATGAAATATAGAGCATTGCTTCCTTCTAAATCTGAAAAATCCGCCACGGTAATTCTGTTCTTATTAGCCCTCAAAGATTCCAAATTAATTAATCCAGTAAAATGCCCTGGTAGCAGCTCACTGATCTGATTATTATCCAGAGCTCTATTTACAAATCTTGTGTTAGTTATAACAAGTATTATTAAAACCAATTTAACAATTCATACTCACAGCCAGAATAATTTGGTTAAATTAATGAAAGCACCTTTATCTATTATTTTTATACCACTACTATCAAGATACCTAGAATTAAAATAATTCATTTGTTCCATAAATTTCATACAAAAAATTCAATAATAAATTTCAGAAACTTACAGTATACGAATTTCTGGGTATTCTGCAAATGCACCCATTGGCACATGTTTAATGGAACTATCGTAGAGTGTTCTAAAAAATTAATGAGATGAAAGAGAAGAAGATTAGAAATATTAATGTGAATTGTGAAGCATTTCAAGAACAGTCCACCTGAATAACTCATCTTTGAATGATAGAAAAAAATTCTTCAAACAAACATTGTTTGATTTCATGGAGGGTGACATATCTATAATTAACATCCTATGGATATCTTTAGAATCGAGAACTAAGGGAATATAATTGAAGGTTTCTTAAATATTGACCTCCTGTAAAAAATCAGGAGTAAATCCAAAAGCTTTGTGTAGGATAGGCGAAATATGTAAAACCATCAAGTCCAAATGAATTATTCAAATGCATAACCTGTTAATTATTAAATATTAAGTAATTCGTACATCGAAGTAATTTCAGAAGATAAATTCTGTGGTATTTCGGTATATCTTTCACAAGTAGCACGACACATTACGTACATACATCCAGCAGGAGTGTTAGTAGCATCTATAAAGAAAGAAACGTAAAGCAATAATCTTTATCCTGTATTTTGTAATTTTCCTTTATTATATGTGCGATTTGATACTGTGTTTCCTTGTATATAAATTATATTGCATTACCGCAAATTGATTCTCTTACTGCATCCCTTACGGAATCCCTGTCGCTGCCAAACCAGTCCAACACACCGTGATAATCATCTGGGTACAAAGAGATATTCTTTTACGAAACGGTACTTCGCCACAATGTGAAAGTGCGAGAGTAAAAATGCGAGAATGTCGAACGTTACAACTAAATTTTCAATTTAATACACTGGCGGTCTCATATTTTGGAGAATTTATCACCGTTGCAAATTTACGTTTCCTTTGTGCTCGATAAAGATTATTGTCGGAATTAAGTTTGAAAGTTTTATTTAGTGCACGTTGAAAAATTAATAATTTTCGTATTGCAATTACCATTTCATGGAATGAATAAAAATAAGGGGAAGAATACTAATTTTCGTATTATTTCTCAAGTATTATTGGGCATTGAACGTACAGCAACTTTGTTCGTCATCGCCAAAAGGACATTGCACTTCCTGGTCGCACCAATTTCTTTGGGGTAAACAAATAGTGGTGTTGAAACAGAGAAAAGTTCCCACAGGACAAGTATCTGAAATGACGAGAATTTTTTATAATTATCAAAATTCTCTATCATTTTTCAAGCAATTATTAATACGAAGTCACAAATGGATGATAATTAAAATTGGATCCCTGCTGTAATCGATTAACGATTTAATCTTCCCATTTCTGCTGTTTTCTAATTGGCTTGTGCTAATGACTAAATAAAAAAATTCAATAAAATTAGCAATAATGATTAATAAAAATCACGTACCTTGATTAAAATAATACATCAGCCCTGATAGGAGGCATACGGTCGCAATTAGAAACGCGCCAATTATTCCGATCCGTTTGAACCTCATTTCGAATAAAAAATATCTATGGCTCCCTAGGATGTTTAAAATGATCTAGCACCCTTGTTGACCACGGATTTCTCTATTTCCCCTCACATGAACAATCTTCTCCACGTGCACTCGGTGCAACGACTGTATGACACTGGTTGCATTCGGTAGTCGGTTGCAAGCTCCGCCGCCACCGTCGCGCACACGCGCTCTTCATCGTCCTCGAACGAGGATTCTTTCTACATTTTGCGATCACAATTTTATTCTGATTTACAACGATCGATTATTCTTATCACGATGATCTCAATGATGTAGATAGACGTCTTTGATATTTCACAATCAGCGAGGAAAAATAACAGAACAGGCTGATGTGCATTTGAATGAATTTGTATTTCCAAGAGATTTCTTTTATTTGTACTAAAAGAAAATTATTATTAAACGATAGATTAACTAAAATAAATTTAGATTTCTATTGAATTAAAATCTGAATGCAAGAAAACATTGTCAGAACAGGTGTTCACTGCAAAACTAAATTTCCCATTTTTCAAACTGCGAACAAAGTAATAATTACACCGTGAAGTTTCTATCCGAAAACTTCACATTCGTTCTTTAGAACCTCGCATGTAACTTCGAAAATAAACGAAACTCAGGTGCAGTTGATAATGCATGCAAAATTGTCCGGGACGAAAACTGCGACTACGTTTCAAAGCAATTCGCGCCGATACGATGGCGTGACGTTACTATACAACAGCCGACAAAAGCGATCAGGAATGTGTAATTACCCATTAATGTGGAAGTAGTATTGATTGGAAAGCTATGGGGATTCGACACCGCGTGCAGTTCGTGAATTTGTTACGTTCCAACTTAAAAACTGTAGTCGTGTATTCACTGTTCGTACGACGGTTGACATTTATTGTTTCTAAGAAAAATATTACAAAACAGTGATTAAGAAAACGAGTGATTCATGGAATTCACGGTGTCGAATAAGATAAATTTTACCGCATCATTCGATAGAAAATCAACGAATTAAACGATGAAGAGTCGTGTTAAGAGCAACATGAAGAAACCCATCTCTTTGAATATAGAATCATTTTACGACGAGACGGTGCTCTCGTGGAGTAAACGTCTCCTCGGCTTATCTGGTCTGTGGCCGGAAAATCATAACGATGTACAATTTTTCTTCTACATTACTTACGTGGTGATCTTCACTTGGCTGGAGATTGTCACGTTGCTGCAGAACATCGACGACCTTGAGAGGTCGTTGAAAAATATCACGCTATCGTTCCCGACCATCTTGATAGTGCTGAAGGCCGTGATGTTTCGGATGAACATGCATCTCGTCTTACCTTTGCTGGCGCTCGTGAAAAGGGACGTGGAGCAAGGATTGTATCAGACGCAGGAGGAACGAAGGACGGTCGTATGGTACAGCGTGGCCGCCACCTTATTTTCCACCTCGTCGGCCCTGTCTTTGTTCTTCGTCCCCACGTTGTTTTACACGAAGCCAGTCGTCGGCTGCTTTTTCTCGCGTAAGTGTTCGCCATTCGATTCCCGATCGGTAGGTGTTCTCCAGATTAACCAGTTAAGGAGGTTCGAATAAAATTAAAGAAACTCGAAAGTTTTTCTAATTGTAAATTAATATTTATTAATACGAGATGTACGATACTTCGCTCGGCCCACTTTTCAGAAATTTATCCCAGCTTTTAAGCGTCAATTTTAATTTCATTAAAATGTAAACAGGTATAACGTGATTCTTTCGTATCCGCAATTTCGTAGATTGAAGAAAGCAGTAAAGGTGGTGGTTTTATTAAACTTACCATCCCGTCACGGATGCAAAAGTATGATAAATCAGGACTTTAATGCAGACTTTATCGCACGGATCCAGGGAACCACATTCGATATCCGTATCCTCATGATCGCACGCGTACAGTTAGCTGGCGTATGCAGGTTTATGGTGTTTCGAGGCGACAGTTACTTCCTTCACGATACACAAACGATCGAGTTTTACGAGGCTGTCACGGTTTGTCGAAGATTTTGCACGACCACCGACGACGCGACTCCTTTTTGCAACCGTTTCAAGCGTCTTTTCGTTAGCCAGCAAGAAACGCGAATTTATGTACTTCACTCTGGTCGTATCTACCACTCGTGTCCCTTCCTCTTTTATGAACAAGGAAACTACCTGAAATGTACCCTTCAAATTTTAAGAAGCGATACCATGCTTTCTTGAAAATTATTATTCGTATATTAATCTTGTTTTATTCATTTGCAGAGTTCATCAATTGCACCCTTCCCTACGAGTTACCCATGAAAGTGCATAACGTTTACGAAGTGACGGAAATGCGGACGTACGCTCTCTTCTGTGTTTACCTGATACCAGTCAGTATGATGTTAACAATCGGCGCAACCGGTGCGGACAGTCTTCTGGTGACGTTAACGTTTCACATTTGTAGTCAGCTTTCGATCCTGACTCATCGAATTAAAAACGTCGAACTTGAACCGCAAATATACTTTCCGAAGATGAGAATACTCGTCGAACGACATATCGAACTTTTAAAGTGAGAATTTAATTAAAAAAGAATCAATCGAATTAATGACGGTAATATGATTATTCTTAATTTTATTTCTATTTCAGATTGGCGAATATCTTAGCTGAGACATTCAGTTCCCTGATGTTTGTACAAACATTAGGACTAATATTTTCTTTATGCATTGTGGTGTATCAGTTATTGATGGTAATTTTACTTTTTTTATTTATTTAGATTTTCTCTGAAGTCTTGTTGACATGTTTAATTAAAAATGTTATAGACAAGCGAATCTGGCGAAGATATGAATACTATACATTTCATAATTTATTCCTGTGCTGTTGTGTTATTAGCATTTTGCTATTGTTTTCTGGGAGAATGTCTAATTAACGAGGTAAAATTTTGTGTAAATAAAAATGCTATCAAAATTATTTTTTACAATCCTTACACGTGAAATATTATCAATACTTTATTTATGTTTCCAGAGCAGTGAAATGCAATTAGCTTGTTATTTCACTAATTGGTACGAGTTGCCAGATAAGTACGTGCGATCTTTGATATTCTGCATTGCTCGATCACAGAAACCATTGTGTTTGACTGCGGGCAAGTTCTACGTATTTTCCCTAGAAACCTTCGGCATTGTAAGTTCCCTTCATCAATCCTAATATTACTAAACACCATCAAATTCTTACAGTGCAACTATAGAGTCTACAGTAAGTACATTTCAAACTTATTTATTTTTTCTTATAGATAATAAAAGCATCGATGGCATATCTTTCTGTCATGAAAAGCATTGTTTAAATAACTCCAATAGTGAACTTGTTAAATATTTATTAAGGGGAATAATTGTTATCCATTATAGTGTTACTTTGAGGTAGTTAAAATTATTAAAAAAATGTCAATAATATTTGATTACGCGTTTCGTGTTAAGAAGGAGGCTTTAGGGAGGGAAAAGAAAAAACGTCAACGATGACAACATAGAATGACACTAATTATTGACACATTTCAAACTCTATTTCATTACATTCAAGACAATTACAGTAGTCGTGTGTCATTCTATCCGATCATTGTTAAGCATCCACAATTTTTGGCTGAAGGAATTGAAAAGAAAAATTTATTTCGGTTTATTTCAAGAAAGATACAGAGTGTACAACTGCCGATGGGGATACAAATTATGCTTTATAACTCGTGCCTCGCGGTAAACAATCATCCGTATTGCAACGTCGAAGCACGTGGTTGTGTGGACCCTGTCGTCGTTGTTATGTTTTCATTTTTACAACGACCTCGATCCTACGAATGGAGTAACAACTAACGCGGTTACGGTCTTCGCGATACACCGATATCGCGTACGGTCTCCTTCGAGATCCATGCACCCACCAGCACCCACTCTCAGTGGCAAGGAACTTAAGTAACAATGTGCATCCTCGTGTACCCTTGATGCTGCTGAAGAAGACGCGTACACGTTCACACACCAGTGTATAATATCCTTCGAAACGAGACTCTGCAAACTGTTTTATTTCGAACGAGATACACGAACGAACGGTACAATCGCGAGACAATGGACACACTAGTATAATGATATACACCAGACCTTTCCAATAGTCTATGTTGTTTCTATGGTGCTAGTTGACATCGTGTTAACCCTTTGTGTTGGAAAAATTCAAATTAAAAAAGTAATTTACAGAATTGAAAATGATAAATAGAGAAGTCTAGTATACTGTTGTGGTAGTGTTATCGAGGGAATTCTTAATTTGTGTTTTCGAAATTAAACAGAATAATTTTATTTTCCATTTTGAAGTGTCAACGTTTTGCAGTGAATGATTATAATCACCCTTAGTGATAAAATAGTTAAGAGAATTTCTGAAAAGTCAGTGTGATTAAGGCAATTTAATAATTAAATAATTTGTCCAATAATTTTATCCAGATCATATGCATCGTGTGTACACGGGAAGGGATGAGGGTAACGGTGTGTCATTGGGCGGAGAGTCCGTTCGGTGTATCGCGAGGAACCTAAGCACATAAACACGTGATGTAATGTATTCGATGCCGTTTAGTTTCCAATCAGACAAATGACTCACACGTTCACATGTTAAACACGCAGTCTCGATGTATTCGCGTTACTTCAACAGTTGTGTTCCATAGAAAATTCGTGCGTGTCACGTGTGTGCTCACGGTCTCTCGTATAATTAATATGCAACAAATTCCCGTTTATTGTGTGCATGTTGGTGTTTATCGTTAATGGAGGCGAATGTCGATCAAGACAGTCTTTAAAATTTCCTATTCTGTACATCTCTGTTCCTAAACGATAGTTGGCTTTGCCTTCAGCACTTTTTTTTCCTCAAGTTTTCAATTTTTTGCTTGTATACGAGAAAAAGACGTGTACGTGTTTCGTGTTTATGAGTGACGTTCACCGTTTCGTTTCTCTAATTTTTCTACGGTATTTCGACGTTTGGTGGGTCGAGAACGTCCCATTGACACACAGAGAGCTGCGACGTTCTCGAAAACGGATCGAGGAGGTAAGAATATGCTATAGACATGTCTGCTTGACATCTTTTTAAGAACAGAAGTAATGATTTTATTTTTCATGTTTCTTTTATTTTTTTGAAATATGAAAATACGTGGTACTTAATAGGTGAGGATAATATTGATGTTCACTGTTTATTGATCTTTTTGTATTTAACTATGATGCACATGCTTGACTATTTTTGGTAGCTATAATAATAGATAAATTAGCTTTTTCTAACTGTGATATGATTTTTATTATCGAGAAGTGAAACAACGATGAAGGAATAATAATAATTCCATGATAGTCGCAAAGAAAAGATTTCGGATGATAGGGAAATACAGCGCAAACCTTACGCTTGTTCTGCATCATTTTATTAACATTATTTTAAAGTAAAAAATTATTTCCTGAGTACTTTCATTGAGCATTCTCGCCTGCCACCTAACTGACTGAATGACTGTCGTAGAAATTATTCCAAGGAACTTTCATGGTATTCGTTGTCACGTTCGAAACGATAGAAATTAATTTGAAAGAAAATTCTTAATTAATACGACGGAAAAGATTCGATCAAAGATATATTTCAGTAAATAAAATATTTCTCTATGATCGTAACTTTCCCGTATTCTGATTAATGTTACATTCAGTCATTCAGAAATACCTAAAAGTTTATGTATTGCACCATAATCAATTCGTTTTTGAATCTCTTTTATTAGAAAGTATAATTAGGGGGAGAGAAAGATTAATATTTTTCAGTTTTGGGAAAGTTAGTTCTTTGCATCGTAGTGCATTTCGATCGATAATTAACTAAGGAAAAATGATAAAAACTATAATCGACCTCAACGTAATCGCATAAACAAAGGTACGAGATCTTATAATGATTGTACACTGAACTTGTTTAAATAAAAGGTTCAGAGTCGTCATAGAAAGATGAACACAAAATGAAGGGAAAAATAAAATCTTCAATATTCCCTTTTTTTATTGATCATGAGAAGGCGAAAGATGGAAAGATACCGGATCTTGATCAATCAGACCAATAGACCTACTATAAATTTTGACAAAGAAATTAAAGCTAGAAAGATGATTAAAAGATTATAGCAAAGAATAACTAAAACTGGACACATTTGACCAGAATAATGAAGAAAGTTTAGACAACTAAAATTTTAAAATATATCATAAATACGATTATTTGACATTAAGATTTATTAATATATTTTATAGAACACAAAATAGATTAAATATTTTTTATTAAGATACTAAAATGAATTAAGTCCCTCAGGGTTAAGGATGGGGACGAAAGTACCTATCATATAAACGATTAAATAATATTCGTTCTAAATGGAAGTATCAATAAATTGTCAAGTATTTCCTGCATAAGAAATTCTTTTATTTAAGACCTGAAAATCTTAATTTACATACCTTCACGATAATATCAGAACGCGGGTTCGTTTACATTAAACCTAGATCTCTGCAAGACTTAATCGTTCGTTTTGCATAGACTTTGCTCTTTACTGTAACAAAATTACAGAATTAAAAAAAAGAAAAAAAACATAAATAACGTTTTCATATCGTACACGAGGTCTAACTTGACTATATAACGCAAAAATAGAGAAAAATAAAGGGTTCATTTTCTAGTTGATCCTTAATCTCTCACTGTACAACGTGTACGTATACATTCCCAATACTGTATAAACAGAGAATTACGATATACCGACATAATTGACGAGAAAAAAAAAACGAACTAGTATCCCCAAGATTATGGCGAGTATTTACAAGCAACGAAATGGTCCCTAACCATTGAACAAAATCAACTATAATATTCGCAGAGTATTGCAATGAATTTCAATGGAATATTTAATAGATTCGCAATAAACATTCATTAAGCAACGTAAAACACTTTCGTGCGACTGAAGTGTAAAAAAATTGTACAATCAGGTGCAACGGGACTTCTTATGACTAAGATTAAAGGGAGGAACCTCCCATCATTTGTATTGAACCTGGGAGAATTTAAGTAAAATTTAACATAAATCCCTCCAGGTCCTTGGACGTAAAGAATAAGGACAAATAAAGTCCTTAGGCCTAGGTAACTTAGACCTCTGAATTTTGGGTGAACCCTGAGAGAACCTAAGGAGAACCTAACATAGAACCTCCCATCTTCAAATCAGATAAATGATGAGATATTCCTTTTGATACCCTTCTTTTTAACTAAAGAAAGCCCAAGTTGCACGAGATTGTAGAATTGATATGAAATATCTGCCTACCCTGCAAATACTTAGTTTCATTAATATGATGATCATACACGCGGTTTTATACTGTGTATCGTTGGTAATCGGTATCTGTACATGTGTTATTAAATAGTGAACATCAAACACCTCGGTAGACAGCCGATAAGCGACATGCCTTTAACACAAATAGGTAGTTGGTAAAGGAAAAGGTGGTAAGCGAGATTTTGGATTAATTCTATATAGGATAAAATCCGAACTGAGAGGGGGGACTGTAGGCAGTCGAACACCTGAAATAACTCACCAACAGGTGATCGATGGTTTGAATAATCCAGATGCCAGTCCCGTGCTTGCATTGTTAAAGCTATAACTTCGTTTTCTGTGAATAAAAACTAAAAAGCGACCACTCTCCGTACGAAACTGATTCGCGTAACACGATCGTCAACAAGATAGTCAATGGCCTACGATATTTCATTTGCAGAGTTATTTTCTTTTAAATTAACCATCGAGGCAAACCTATTACAATTTTTTTTTTTAAATTTTTTTCTGCAAATAAAACATTTCGATTTTTTATGCCAGTGTCGGTGATTTTCAGTTCATTACTCGACTGGTTACAGGAAAAAAAAATTAATCTTACGCGAAATTATAACATTATTCGTAGAAGATGGAACTGATATTTCGTGCAATATAAGAGGTATAAATAATATTAATATTAAAGCAATATTATATAAATATTTAGCTAAACAACTGAAGCAAAAGAGACGTGTTTACCACGATACAGTGACGCTACTTCGAACTTAAAAAGGACAGATAGTTTCGTGTCATTTACGACACGAGAGAGTAACGAAGAGTATAGATTATTTACAACTTAGACGTACTACTTCTTTCTTTATACTTTATCTACTTATGCATTAAAGAAATGCGTTTTATACAAGAATACGTTTCATCTTCGTAACGCTGAAACCTTCGAGCGTATTTTTTTTTTCTTTCTTTTTGTTTCGTTTCTTTTAATTGAAAACCCTAATTATAAGCTTTTAATGAAAATATAACCATTTTCCAGGCTTTTTCTTTTTTTTTCTTCTCTTTTTTTTGGTTGCTTTTAATAATTTCGTGGGTAAAAATTATCATAAGCGATATATATGTATAAAATGAAATATAAAAATAAAATTATCGAACTTTACAGATAGTGATGCTTTCAAGTTCTCGTATTTTAATTCTCAAATTGTCACATGGTTTGCGATAAAAAAAATGTGACATCACAGACACTGGCACAATCATTCGTTCGCGGGTATAATTGTTCCCATTGACTGTTGATGTTGTTTATAAAGATTAAAATCAGAGCGTCTGTCATACAGTCGTGCATCGATTTACTCCAACGGGTAGCTTCCTTAAACGCATCACGTTGCTTTGTTTTTACGAAACGGGGGACTTACAGTGGGCAGTGGATGGTTGCATGAGAACTGATTTACAGTCTAGATGACCCAGAGGAGCATCTGTGAATCGACGTGAGGTAGTAATTCTGCAGTGGTCAAGTGCAAACGTACCCTTCCTGTGCTACTGTTGATGCACCAGTAGGCCCCTCCTGAAATGATTTCATTGACACAAGAATTAACGGATTAGGTCACGAGTATAGTCGCGTGCAATGGTACCTTTTGGGTACAAGAAAAACTGTAAGGGAAGACTTTATATCATACTCCTGACTACCTATTATTTCGTCGTTCCCCTACACTTTCCTTTTATTTAAAAAAAAAAATCTATTTTTGCACGCGACGATACATTGCCAAGCGATAAATAGTGAGCGTTGAACGACGAGCAGCGCGTGAAGTCGAATACGTGTTGAAAAGCGCTGTTATACTATTATTACATGGAATTAATTTATTAGCAGATAATATTATACATTTATGATACAAGTAGTTATAAGGGAGAAGCAATGGTAATAGCTCGTATTTGTTGAAAATATTGTAGTCATCGCTCATTGTTCACCGTTTAATAATATACTCGTGACCTTAGTGTTCAAGAAACTGAGCGATTCCAAGTGTATTAAAGAAAGAAGCGGAACGTTAAAAATGATACTACGATATCCTCCGCCCCTTACCTCCTCAAGTTGCCAATTTACGATTAACGAGTTATTTCTTCTCTGACAAATCCGAAATTCGCTTACTATGCTCTAGTTTTATATGTAGTTACCTAATCCTGCTCTATGCTGATTATTGTTCATTATATGTACAATGTCTTACATCCTTAGCAGCTGTCAATGTTTGCTTGTATTCATCCAGACTAAATCCGGAATTGCTATCTTCTCCGCAAGACTGAACCACCAAAGACCCATCTTCTCCCTCCATGGATAATGTAATGTTTGTTAGGTACGCTCATCATAAAATTTTCCTTTTTTCTATATCGTCGTAGTTTTTAACGCGTACCTGTGTCACTTGCTGTTCATTGTCGTTAACTCTTCGCTTCTTTCCACACGAATCCGTAGTCTGGTCTGATAATCTCTTCCGATTCACCGGGTCTCCTTGGTTCCGTGGTGACACGCTACCATTGTTACCATTCCCAGCAATATTTCCGTTTTTATGTACACTGCCAGAAACCTGATCGAAGTATCATTTTTATTAGTATGATTCATGATATAATATCAGGAAAATAATCAAAGAGATTGAATTCTTTCTTCACCTTTCTTTCTCGCCTGAGCAGACTAGGAGAAACATAAGTGTGTAGATCCTTTCTCTTCACGTGTTTTGCCTCTATCCACATACCCTCCTTCAGAACGCTCAATTGTTCCGCTTGCCTTTGAACTAAAAATCCATGCAAAAGCAATTCAGATAAAAGATTATCTACTGCAATAATAATTTCTTGGGATAATAAACGCTCGTATTCGGATCAATTTTACGCTAAACACAAGTGTTTACATAACGAAAAAGACACTCGATAATAGTTCCGATAGTAGCAGTTCAACAACAGATTAAGTTATTCCTTCTGACCTAATGTTTTTCTCAGAAATTTCGTTTAGAAATAATTTTTCGGGTCAAAGTTTAAGTATCCTATTAACTAGACGTTCGACTAAATAAAGCTTTGTTGTAAATATCCTAAAATATACTTACTTGAATCTACAAACGATTTGATATCGTACGTTAGATCGACGTTCAAGTTCTCGCTTTTGGCAAACAGTAAGCCGATAAACCACATGGAACAATGACCCTCCGGTTCTGGTTCTAACGGTGGAAATGCCTCTGGGTTTACGTGTGCCAATGTGATGTGAGGATTCCTTTCCAGGGTACCTGTGTTTAAGAGTTAGGATTTTGCCATTTTGGCATCCGTGGATTATTAGCATTGCAATATCGACAAATTAATATTGAAAGTCAAAGTTTCATGATTAGATTAAGACACAGATTAAGACAGAGATTTGTATAATTCAGCGATATATTATAACTGCTGCTTATTCCTGTGAAAGAGGTATAAACTTATCTGACGACCTAAGAGTATATCTAAAATTTACGCTGTAATAAAAATAACCTGTTTTAATCTACGTCATTTAACTGAAACAAACACTATACAATAAATGATAAACTAATTCAAAAGTAAGCTCAGTAATTTTTTATAACTACGAGATATCGCGCGAACCACGAATGTATTCAGTATTTTACCTATCAAATGCCGTATTTTTGACTCGACAAGCCCACACCATTCGAGTTGATCCTCTGGAGATAAACTTCTTGCCAATAGTACAATATAGTGTTTGTATTTGCCAAAGAAATTTGGTGGTTCAAACAGCTTGTCCCACGTTGCTTTCCCCATAATAATTTCTTCCGTTATCGACAGTCCGGTTTCGAATGCTTCCTGCATGATTGTTCTCGTCGAAACCGATACATTAAACGTCGAATTTTGTTGAGGATATGCCGGCGTAATTATTGGCATCAAGTGATACCTATCCGATATATTAACCTTGAGGAAGAAATTTATTATATTACGAAGCTTCTGTTACTCTAAAACAAGAAAATTTATGCGGTGTATAAATGAAACAAGATTCCTTACTCTTGGATCCCAAACTGGAAAACCTAAATTAACATTGTCAGGCTGCTTTAAAAGTACTGGCTGTGGCCATTTCCACTGAGAAAATACAAGGAAAAATTTTTCTATTAACGTCGCCGCAACGGCATTAGGATAAAGTTGACACGTTCTTGCAACCAACATTGCCCAAGATACACCTCCTAGATATCCTAGCACATTACTATATATACCGTGTCCTATGAATAAACAAGTAAAATGAGATGTTAGAAAAATGTAGGTTCCATCGTGCGATGTGTGATCTTTAAAAAATCGTCTTACTCTTTGCCCACAATTTAATAGCTCTTAAAGCCAGCCTAAAATTTTCTATATTAGGTACTAAACGCAATATTTCATCAGTTACTCTGCACCCATTAAGACTTCTCACACATTTCTGATCAAGATTTTTCAGAAGCATATCATCCCTGAGATCCTACATAAACGAAAAAGATAGATTTATTAGATCTATGGCTGGGAAACAGAAAGTAGACTTCTCTTTAATAATCTACTAACCATTGAATCAGGGATTTCTTTAAGAGCTAGTTTTGCAAATAGCATGTCAATCTCAATACCATCAAAGTTCATTTTGATTACTGGTACAAATGCTTCTTCCACTGCCTAAAAGATATTAAATGACATAACTAAATAACTGTAAAACTTGTATTTTTCTAATTGATACATTTTATATAAGACACACTGATGACAGTATTCATCATAGAATCCTACATTCTCTGTTGACTATTGATCTAAATGTAAATCACTACTTACTGTGCAAGAGCTATGTGAAAAGAAACAGGTGTTAAATGAACAATTGATTAATATTATTTGATCATTCATAAAATACCTACCCTCAAGTCAGTCACTTCTTCTTGCATTTTCAGTAATTCAAAGAAGGATGTAAAGTAATCCGACCTATAGATGTGACGGGGTACAACACATAGGGCATCTATATCAGCACCTTTGTGGTGTACCCCTAACCTATATGAACCGAAAGTATATATTTTACCGCCAACTTGTTCAGCAACATTAGGTGGCATATTTCTGGCAATACTTGTGTCCCTTATCCACTGCTTCACCAATGCATTCAATTTGCTAAATAAGATGAAAACTTAATGTAATGTACAATACCCAGTATTTGATATGGTGATAAGCATAGATGTTTAAAGAAAAACACCTTAAAATTTCCATTCTATGATTTAGTTCTTCTTCTGATTCAAATACATTGTATGGCTTTAATGCTTCCTTTAATTCATTTGTCCTAGTAAGGTCACTGGGCTTTGGTTCTGCTACACTGATAGCAGATGTCATACCCAATGTACGTAGATTCTTTTCTTCTTTTGAAGCATTTGAGTTGGAGTTGTTTCCTTGTGATGACCACATTTTGGAATTTGTTTACTTTATTCCAGATCTGGAACATAATTGATCATGTTTAAACATACAGCCATATATGCTAAAAAGATATACATACATGGGGAAGAAAGCTTAATAATATAAAGGGATTGTATTACAACATATATAAACTGTTTAAGAAATAAAATAATTTTATTTATGATAAAATTAAAACCAATAATTAAGTATCTTTACAATTGAAAATAATTTTAAATACATTTTGGATTATTGTGATATCTAAAACATAACAGAACAAAATAGATAGATAAAAATATAAATTTTTAATTGAATTCTATGTATAATGATATAAGTACACAAGGGGAAATAAACAAGAATTGCCTACTGTGGTATCTAAGTACATACAAACAAAACTCTGACTATTCTTACACAAATATTCAATTGAAATTCTAGGTATATCATTTCTCAGTACTTTTTATTCATCTATTATAATTCTACAATAACATTAAGATGCACTGATCAACATGCATAGAAACAAGAAAAAATAAAGGTTTTAAATACATACAATTGGTATGGTTTTATAAATGAAAGAAAAAAGAAAACAGAACAAAGTATAAAGGAGAATGAGAATGAAAATGAATACATTTATTTCACAGAAGCAATTTTACAACATACGCAAACATTCTTGAATAATTATTGTGATTCGTACAATTGTCTCTCCTACAACGCGGTACACGTGGTAGAGAATACGTAGAAACGTGGACGTGTCGCGGTTTCGTTAGATTCTTACCGCTTAATATTTTGTCAAAGATGCAATGACATGATAGAGATAGAGAAACTTCGGACGTGTTGTCAGGTTATAAAACGCGCAAAATGCTTGTGCTAAAGATGCATCACATCCATCCAATGTACGCGGACGATTCCTGAAAAGGAAATTGTACTCCTAGCGTGAATAGCACGTTCTTAGGGCACTCTTTACTCTCAAAGCAGCTTGAACAACTTGTAAACAATTTATGAGGTAGCAAAAGAATCCCGAGAAACGAAGGTCCATAAGTCATAAAATTGTTCGCGTCTACCAGATTATTTCATGTACTCCCTGATAAAAACAATTCGTCCACAATTATAATGTAAAGGAGACTTCACACTTAGGACACTTCGCACCACGGTGTATCGTGTAAATAAATAATTAAACGTTACTATTTGAAAATAATGGATAACACGTATACCCGCACTAAACCACCTACGGTATAAACATGGCTTCTCCTCACGGCTTGCTTTAAACGTGGAACACCAGGTGGCTAGAAGTGCATCCGGTCCGGATGTTCCCGTGATGCACCTCATGCGCCATCTTCCGCCGTAGTTGGCGTCGGAAAAGTGGAGGGTTCGTACCGGAGGTGTTTTGGCGCAAATATAACTGAAATATTACTGTTTTATTCCTGTAAGTTGCTATTTGAGTTACGTATATTTTGTAGATGAAAGATTTAGTCATAACAGGGTCGTTAATTTCAGAAATTCAATTCAACATGACATACAAAATTGTAAATGGAGGAATTGCGTTGTGGAGATTGTTTTACCGCGCTATTGAGGTTCTGCAAGGTATGTAACTTATGATCTGCATCATAAATGTGCTTTCATTGTTACATATACCGTTATTTAGATTCATTTATAACTTTCTCAAATTATGCACATGAATTCTTTTACCGCTTATTAATTTGATTAAATCAATGCGTAAAGTATCTCAACATTTAAACTCTGATGATATAAAACGCGTTGTTGTGTTTGAGTAACAACGTTTGTACAACGTGTTCGTTGCAAACATTAAATAGCAGAGTTCATTGACTAGAAAACCTATATTAATATTCATAAGTATATTGTATTTTCAATTTTGTATCTATTCACTACGGAAAATCTATTTCCGTAGTGATCATTATCATTTTGCATTATTATTTTATGAGAGAAAGAACTCGAAAATTCATGTAGGTTAAGGAAAGGAAATCAAATCAACGTTTAAAACATCGATCACATTACAATTTACATATATTTTATGATATAATGAATAAAATAGGTACATTAATCCATTGTGGATGTTAGATACATTTTAAATAATTCTAATTATTTCATTTTTTGTGAAAATTAATCATTTTCAATTATTTTACAAGATATCGCCTGATAATAGGTGCTATTTAGTTCTGAGTTTTCCCGAGAGATGGCGCCATAGGACATGATTTTTTATGGCGGTTTTTTACCTTTTACTATTTAAACGCTGATTCTATTTTCTTATTTTCTTCTATTCTTTTGGACTTTAGTGTAAAGAACAATTAGGGAAAATGAAGAAAGCTTCTATTTAAATATGAATGATCAGGTCATATATTCTTACTTATTTTTTAAATATTTAGTCGAAACGAGAAGTCCGTTCCTTTTGTTCTCCAGAAGTGCGTTAGAAGTCGTACCGTTTCGTGGATAATTTTGCTATCCGTTGGCTACTTCCTTCCGTTCGTTTATTTTTCTTGTTTTCTTTTCGTCGGTGGCATCCTGTACGCAGGAACACTCGAAATAAAAGGTAGATGAAAACGAGACGTCGCGTACCTCGAGTTTCATTTGCGGCCGAGAGTTAAGCTTGTGCACCGTACCCACGGGGCTGCTTCAGACAGAACGCTTACTAGCCACTGCTAAATTAGCACCGGAATTAATCTCCATCCACTCTCGCATTCTACACGATTCACGTATTCTCTCGACGAAAGTTTGAGCGTTCGAACGAATACAGTAATTTGCACTTTCACTCTTTCTTCTGTTTCTGTACTCGCATCGGTTACTCGCTTTTCTTGATACAGTTCGATAACAGACCCAGAGAAAATCATGGTATGAATTCTTTTTTGTGTCATTTCCTTCGTAAAGAATTACGAAGATTTTCCTTGTCGTTGGTTCATTTAACACCAACGTATCTTTTCGCCGTTATTACTCGTCGTGTATCGCTCGGGAAATCTCAGGGATAACGAGAGGTCCTGGAATTAAAGGACTGCAAGATTCGTACCCTTCGAGATCGCGAGGAATAATTGATTTTTCCCAAGGGTTAGCATAAAATTGTGCAAGGGATGTATCTGAATTTCTAGCCACAGGTTTCACAGTATTCACTTCATTATTTAAAGCTATTTTAAGATATTTTATTAAAAATTTTTTTCATCTAGGATAAGGATAAAAATATCTGCTTACTTGAGTAAAATGAATAAATTTGAAAATACCAATTTCAATTGATTCAAATTAATCGAATTCTTGGATATGACATTTCGTGCCTTCTTTGTTTTCCTTTTATATCGATCCTCTAGAACGCGCTCGGTGTCAGCAATTTTCGTCGTCTTTTCTTAGCGTTATCGTCGCTTCGAGTTGGTCAGCTTTTTGTTTCGACCGAGTCGCGTCAAAACCCTACATCAGCGTCTTTTTCATCCTCCTTCCTCTTCGTGTTTCGATCGTTCAGATACCCGTATCTTCCCTGCAAGTTTTCTAGGTCACCGGTACCATTTCAAGCGTTCCCATTTCGTTCGAACAGTCCTGTATCTTGACTTTTCTTTCGCTACGGAATAACAATCCTTGCACTCATCCGATACCAGGGATATTTCATTTTTTATCAACCCCGTAAACTGCGTCGTGTTAGAAAATTATGTGCCAGTCGCTCGACGAACGACGTGGCTTTAATTAAGACCCGCGAAAATCTCGTCGTGTCGCCTTAATTAAAACCGTAAACGCGAGAAGTCCGAGTGAGCAGCGGTTTTAAGAAGCGTTAAAAATCCTCCTTAAACGTGGGTTGCTTCCTTTGCCAGATATTAATATAAACAAAAATTTTGTCAAGGCATGTCGGATCCTCTGTATTTCAAAATCCGTCGGTTGATATACAAGAAGGTAATACAAGCGTCCATTGTGCGCGAGCACATCAGCTTCCATTCCCGATTTCACCGTCACAAGGAAAAAAGTCACCTAGACGATAGTAAATCTCGGATTATCCCTCGCGACTTAATGTCAAGCGAAGCTCCATCATCGTGGAAGTAATCTTCAGTATTCAAAACTGAACCTCTTCAGCACCTTTGAGGTGAAATGTTCGGTGTATGGTCGAAATCATTGTTCATTATAAATTGAATTGAAAATTATGCGTTCCTATAGTAATCTTTCGTGAAATATTCGCATTTCGTTAAAAATATGTACCCCTCGACTGGCAGTTCGTTATTTAGCGTATCGGTTCGAATGCGGATACCACGATGCGGCTGAATTATGCCACGAATACTAATGACCAGGGCCGACCATTGAAAAATGGTGTATTTTCGAGCTTCGCTTCGTTCAGCGTGGAACTCGTTAATAGGTCAACCGATAATTTCAATGCGGCGTGCTAATCCTTGGCTATCGATGCGACTTCATCGACAAAGCAAGAATAATGCGCAACACCGTCCAGAATCGAGTTATACCGTGCAACCCTTTTAATCCTGTTGCTTTATTGTTTTAACTCGCGATTTTAATAATCCAGAGGTATCCCATTCTTTTATACATTTTTTTTCATCCACATATGGGTGGCATAACAATCAACTTATTAATAGGATATTGTCAAAAATTACATAAATTGAAAAATGTGTTAGACAAGTTTCTGCTCCTTCTTCAAGTGTGATCGAAAATTGAATTATTCGTTCATAACAATTCATAACATTCGTAGTTACGTACATATATGGAGGGTGAAGCACGTTCGTTCATAATTTTGATCGAATAGGAATTAATTCACATGCTCATTAGCGCGTCGATTCGAAATACCTGTAAATAATCACGCCGTATTGCTTCAGCTCGTAAGTCAGTTGCTATGTTTGCCTGTGGTCAGTAATTACAATCACATGATATCCAACGAATTTTGATTCTCTATCCGACGATTAGTCATGCCAGAGAAGTGAGTAATTGAAACATTTGGGATCGAATGTGTGATCTAAATGAAAATTAATAGGTCGCTTTGCTTCCGTAATAATGATCGTTATCAACGTATACAGCGAGTCGCAGAAGTATTCCCTCTCAGTTAATGACATGTTGATTGTCATGTTACTTGAATTTTCATTGGAATTCATCACCCATATGATATTAAAAATTATGGATAATAGGGATAGCGAAGCATTGCGAAAATAAGCACTTCAACTAGTGTAAATCGTAGATTATTGCAATTTATTTTGTAGATAAGAGTAGTAGAGAATACTTGGCATGAAGTAAGCCTGGACTGACAGTAGATTTATGCTCACAGGTCAGACGCAAGTAGTACGAGCAACCACTAGTCAGCCACCGTGGACGACATAGGCGACACCGCAATCGCAAGTATGCCAACGGTCTGGTGAGTCCTGTATATTACTATCAACAAATTTGTTACCATTTTATTATAAAAAAAGGCTGCATGCTCGCTACTAAGCCTATTTTTTGACTCCAAATGTGGGTCACCTATTTTTCATAGTATAATACTTTTTAACTTGAAAGTACAAACACTCGTGAAAAAGAAACGAGCCTGCGTTAAAAATTAAAAAACAGTTTTTCTTTACATTTAATTAACGTAATTATATGAAACAAGATATGCTTTACAAATCTGTGAATCGTGCATATTTACCATAATTTTTAAAGCGTATTTACTTTACTGTGAACAATGCAATCTCACCGCGACGGGTTACGAAATATAAAATAGAATTTCAACAAAATCCGTGTCAGTGCACCGGTGCAGCTGTGAACACAAATTCCTCGTAAACGTTAGATACATTTTCTGTAGTACGACGCGATTGCAAGTACAAATCGTGTTGTACAAAATCGTTCATCGGTACGCGGTGTTCGTGTAACGTGACACGTACACGTGTAATCGTATTGCGAAACGAGAAGTTTTCTACGTTTTGCAACCAACAAGAGCTGGTTTTCGTATTTCCTACGGCGAGGAATTACAGTTTGCCTCGTTTTGCCCGACGTCAATACCGTCTGTCTTCATTTATGCGCTTCTGTAAAGCGGAAGCCGAACGTTCGTTCGTCGGACGTCAGACGAGATGAGAGGAAGTAATGCACGGGGTTATGGCTTCCTTTGTTTCAAGACTCCGAGAAAATTCTAACTAAATTACAATCTCCCTCGGATAATAATATAAACGTTAACATTGTTTCTTTTTTAAATTGAATGAATTTTATTATAATTGCGATGGGTTCTGCATTTTTGCAAAAATTTTACAATTATTCAATTTGCAAACTAGAATCTGCAGCTAGAAATTTGAAGTATGAAGAGAATTTCTTATTTAA